TTATGCTTTGCTTCTAGGCTTAAGGGCTTTCCATGTAATGATCTGCTGCTGCAGCCCCTTTTCCTATTCATCCTATGATTGGAGGCTTCACAAACTACCTTGTTTCCCCGAAAATAAGACGACCCCTGATAATAAGCCCAATCAGGCTTTTGAGCGCATGGCAATAAGGCCAAGTGCTTATTTCAGGGTTCAAAAAGATATAAGACAGGGTCTTATTTTCGGGAAAACACGGTATCTCTCTCTCTGCTTCTCTCACTACTATGTTCTTTTCCTACCAGATATCTGATCCCATGGGAGCTCGTTCCTGGGATCAGAGCCCTGATGTTTAAAAGGCCATTGGCCAAATTCTTCTGCTACCTGTCCCAGCTGGTTGCTAACCCTAATGTTGACTCTGTGTTTAAAGAGATTTTAAATTAGATGAAAAGTATAGAATGCTAGGATCTGTTTTCTCTCTGGAGCTGAATATGCTGGATACGCAGGCTTCCTGGCAGCCTCACTGCACTCTTGGAAAGGGGTGAGAGAAGAATTGTCTCACTGGAGTCCAGGAACCAGATTTCTCTGACAGAAAGTAGAGAATTGGGTTCCTTAGCTAGGTGGTGTTCTGGTGCTGAATTTGTTGCCCTTAACCTCTCTCTCTCTCTGGCAAGATATTGATTAACTTTGGTGAAGTTGGGATCAGGTGGCTCTGCCAGGCAAGCTACCTCTTACATTGTGGATGGAGAGCTAGTTTGGTCTAGTGTGCTCTGAGTATTGTGCACTACCACAAATGTGGAAAATCTTCTGTGATAGCTCCTTCAACCGTATCCTGAATTGAAATGATTTGGGGAAATCTGAAATATCTTTCATTTCAGGCAATGCTTATCCTGGCATGAATAAACCCTATTCTGAAGAGAAGAAATCTAAGCCAGTGATTGTGAAAATACAAAAACCAAAGTGGTCTAAGCACACTCCCATTCTGCTATTGTGTAAACAGGCAATGAAGTGGATATTGATCACCCTCTTAAAACTAAGGGTGTTAGTGCAGGGTGAAGTGGGAGATCTTCTGAGACATTTGGGATGGGACAAAAGCATATTTTACCATTCTAAGAAAATTGAACAGAGCTTTTTATTCATTGGGTGGTCTGGATGAACTCATTCTGGGAAGGAAGTTCCCCATTTTGCATCCATCTTGCAAACCGTCAACTTGCGAAGGTGGAGAAAAAGATTGAGTAAACTCACAGTTGTTCAAACTGTAGCCATAATATCCATCCAGGATATTATGACTGCAGGATATTATGGCTACCTCACTTCCAACAGGAAGCCAGTTCACATTTGGAATATAATTTGGCTTCACTGGCTGCAATGAGGAGGAAGAGGAGGTGAGCACTAATGCCTTCATTGCTGCGGCTCCTTGGAAGATGATGTCTGCTTTTTCCAGGATGGCTACTGGGTTTTATAGTCACAGCTTGAGAAACTGGCTCCTTTGGAGGGATGGTAAACAGAGTATGTAGCAATAAGATTTCCCCAATCTGTGGTTATTATGGATTGACAAGCAGAGACAGTTGAGGACAAAAAACCAATGAGGAAGAAAAAGAAAGGGCACAGATGTGATGAAGGGTTGTGGAACCAGTGGAACAAAAACCATAAAAAAGGTTTAACTGTCATTTTCAATTTCATAAAAAGCCAAACCTAACTAACAGTTGGTGAGAAGAGCATTTGTGGCACCCGGGGAGATCCTGGGTCAAGGGAAGTTTGAAGCTCAACCATTTTATGGTCTTGCACATGAAAAAGGAACAGGATGTTCATTGTGTGGTCATTTCTGACAGCGTTATTTTTCAGACCCCCACCCATATATATTCCCCCCTCTCCCTCCCCCTCCCTCCCCCTCTTCTTCTCTCTCTCTTTTATTCATCTTTTATACACGTACAAACTCTTAATAAAAGTTACATTAAAGAAAAGTGAAGGGCCCTCCATCCACTCAATTAATCTTTTCAGTTCAATTTTGCATTACCAAATTTCTACTTTTATGAAGCATCCACACATGCCCAGTGGAACAGAGAACCAAAAAAAATTGGTATAGTTATATATCATAATAACATAAGCCAATTGGTTCATCTCCTCATCCCCCTTGATTATCAGAAGCCATAACACATGGGCGAGCAAGCTTGGAACTGAACTCTGGGATTTCTTCCAAGTTGCATGTGGACCTGGCTGAATTTATACAATCTGAATCAATATAAACACTGAAGACACTTCTCCTAGATGACTGAACTTACTGGCCAGTGATTCTTTTTAATAAAGTCAATGCCAGGCGCACTTCCGGTTTGCGTCTTGCCGCCGCTAGACGATCCCTTGGGATCGCCGCCCCATTGTCTGTAATGAGCTGCCTTTACATCTGAAAGGCGGCTCGAAAAAAACTCCATTTCCATGTGGAAATGGAGACAGAGCCGGCGGGGCGGGGGCAGGTAGAGCTCTCTGCATAGCCCCAAAAGTTTTTCTTTTACTTTGGGGGACGAAGCAGATGACGCTCCCTATTTTCCTTGCCGCTGCTCCGGGCTTTGGGAGACCTCTGCTTATGCAGAGCTAGGCGACAAGATCAAGCCTACAAAAATTAACAGAACAATCAAAAAGGATATGAGCTGGACCTGTGACCCTGAAGCGCAAGTATTTTACTTATTCTACAATAGTTATTGAAGAAGGAAAAGGAAAAGGAAAAAAAGAATCTTTAAAAATGGCGACTGCCGAGGCTTGAGAAGGGGCTGAAAGGGAGAGTCCTTCCGTTTCCTATTGAGATACAAAGTAGCGGAATAAATACTTTTGGCTACACTTGAAAACAAAGCTCTACTTTTGTGTTTTTCTCTTCCTGGAGATCTGATATTGATCTTGGTTGGAAAGAAGTTTTTTTTTTCCTCTTTTGCCTCTCTTTTCTTTTTTTTAAATAGTTTGTCTGTGTGGAAATATGGCATTAAAGCTTGCAAAGCCGGAGAAACAAGCAGTGGGGGGGGGATTCCCCATTAATAATTACGTGAACAAGTTTTAAAGCTCCAGTCTCAGAAAACTGATTTTAATATAATTGAATTTCTTTTGGAGGAGATTGTAAGAAGGGATGAGATTGTGAATCAGAACTTTGAAAAATTTAAGCAGGAAATTAAAGAATTAGTGCAATTAAAGTTTGATACTCTGGATCGAAAGATTATAAAAATGGCTAATGGCTTTGCAGAATTTATGATCAAGTTGGATGAAAATACTAACTTATTAGAGTCTAAAGTGGAAGAAATTGAGGACAATTTGGACAATAGAATACAAAAAATTGAAAATGATTTGACAAACATTCAAGACAATAGCTCAGAAGAAAAACCTAAAATGGAGGCTGAACAAAAGACTTGTAATGCAGAAAATATACAACAACGGATTGAGCCAGAGGTGATATTTGCCAGTTCTCTGAACTATTCAAAATTTCCACTAGTGACTGCTACCGGTTCTCCAAACAGTTCAAAATTTCCGCTACCAGTTCTCCAGAACCTGTCAGAACCTGCTGGATTTCACCCCTGAACAAGACCTGTTGATTTATTATATATAATATAATGTCATGTTCCTTCTTATGCTATATATATATTATTTTTATGTATATATATATATATATATATATATATATATATATATATATATATATATATATATATATATATATATATATATACGTAAGACTGACGAAGTCTCATTCGTCATCTTATTTGCTTGCAAATAACTATATATATATTGATATATACATATATATATATGTAACTGAAATTATGAACTTTTGCATATGAATGATATATGATTTTGATGATTAGATAGGATAGATTATGGAAAAAAGAGTAGTGTGTAATTTTAGAAAGTAAAAGTATATTAATTTTATAATATTTTTTCTCCATTTTGTTTTTCCTCAACTTTTTTCTTTTCTTGTATGTTTTGCCCTCTTTGCTTTATTTTTTTTCCTTTCTTTTTCTTTACATTAGTTTATATTAATTTTTATCTTCTTGTTTAATACCGTGAATAAAAAATATATACAAAAAAGGAAACAAATTGCAATTCCCTGGTGCAATAGACCATTGCAGTACCAGCATGGTGGGAGAGAGGGGTGTTTTAGGAGACTGAATATAAATCAAGTCATTCTATTTAATTATAATAGCAATAGCACTTAAATTTATATACCGCTTTACAGTGTTTTACAGCCCCCTCTAAGCGGTTTACAGAGTCAGCATATTGCCCCAACAATCTGGGTCCTCATTTTAACAACCTCGGAAGGATTGATGGCTGAGTCAACCTTGAGCCTGGTGAGATTCTGCCAAATGCAGGCAGCCAGCAATCAGCAGAATTAGCCTGCGGTACTGCACACTAACCACTGCGCCACTGTGGCTCACTGTATGCAGAACAGCTAGTTTGGAATAATGGTTAAGGCACCAAACTAGAAACCAAAACATTGTGAATTCTGGTCCCCCCTTAGGCACCAAGCCAGCTGGATGACTTTGGGTCAGTCTTCCTCTGACTTGTTAACTACATCCTGGAACTGATGATGCACTGAATAGACTAGATTTAATACAATAACAAATCTATACTTTGAAAGAAGGTAAAATGAGGAGTTTGGAACAGGGTAAATCACAATAATTTTGCCTGTATAATTTAATCTGCTAATGTTGCTTTCTTGTTTGGATACTCTGGTATCTGCCAGATCAATGGATTGTAGTAAGATAGCCACCAGATTCTAAATTCAGACATCAGTTATACTGCACAACAAAAACCAAGCCTTAGTATAACTGGAGGTACATCCTAGATATTGTCTGGCCTTGACTGCCAATTTAGAATTTTCATGTAACAATTTCAAGATAGTTTACTAATATTGTATGAAGAGATGCATCAGGATGCCAAGTTTTGAACCAATGATATATTTGGCTACACAGTTCTCCCCTGCCATAGGAAAGATTAATAACCAGTTCAGTTATGTGAGAATAATGAAGGATGAAATGAAAATGGCAAAATGCAGAATATTCATTTTATTGAACATTTTCAAGCAATATTTGAAGAGTTTAAAAGAGATTTAAAATCATCATTTGTATGCAAAGAAACTTGTTCTTCCCAACTTCTGGGGTACACGCATCACATTGAATTGTGAAAGATTGGTTATACGGTATAAGAAGTAGTATCATTTTCATCACAGGAGGAGGAAGAGAAATACAGAAGAGAAATGCAGGATCATCCATCTCAGAGCCGGCAGTCACGAGTCCATTCTGACAGATCTCTTCCTTTGCAGTGGTTCCTCCAGGCAACCCTAGAAGTAAGAAGAAGAATATTGCATTGTTACTTGTTTAATTATTCTGGTCAGGCCCAATATAAAAGACTGAAGCCTTTCTTATAACAAAGGTATTTATTTCTTGTCTTCCTCAGGATTACATTTGGACAGCAGAGGTTCTGACAGAAGCAACGACTTATATACAGAGGAGGCGGGGCAAAAGGTAAGTAGGGACCAATGGCAAGGAGCATAATGACATCACACAATAACATATATACATATATACATATTTACAGAAAACAAGTTAGGTATTTTCAATTGTAACAAATCCCCCTCTAAAATACCTAACTACTAGTAAATTATTAATTTTATATATGTACATTAAGTTTAGAAGTTAAATATACATGTTGTTTGGTTGCTAAGGGCTTAGTGAGAATGTCAGCAATTTGTTCACTAGTATCGCAATGAACAGATTTAATAAATCCTATACTTGATAATTGTCTCACATGTTTATATTTGATATCGATATGACAAGATCTTTGGCCTATTGCCTCGGAAGCGATATATCTATTGCTGCTTTATTATCTTCATTGATGATAATTGGATAAATGGGTTCATCCCATATATTAGGCAACAAATCATCAAACCAGGTTAGGTTATTGACTGCTTTAGATAGGCAAACGTATTCGGCTTCTGCTGTAGAGGTGGCAATTAAATTTTGTTTGCCAGTATACCAATGTACCGTGCAACCATTTATAAGGAAAACATAACCAGAGGTACTTTTTCGGCTCTTTGGGTCTCCAGCCCAGTCTGCATCAGCATAACAGGTCAAAGTTGGCTTTTCAGAAATGAATGGTTCTAAATATAAACAGACGTCAGCACTAGATTTCAGATATCTTAGAATTCTCTTGATTCCTTCCCAATGATATACGCTAGGGCTGCTTACGTGTCTTGACAACAGATTAACAGCAAGGATGATATCTGGTCTGGTCCAATTGGAAATATACAGTAATGATCCAATAATAGACCTATACAAAGTGTTTTCTTTGAATGGCTCGTGTTCATTGTGCATGTTTCTATTGAAGTCAGTTGACATGGGTGTCTCGCAAGTTTTTGAGTTTATCATATTGCACTTTTGTATAAGTTCTATAATTTTTTCTTTTGGGGACAATTTGAACCCCTTATCAGTTTTATCAATTTGGACTCCTAAATATTTCTTTACCTTTCCTAATATTTTTAAGTTGAAATGTTTACCCAATTGTTCAGCAAATTCATCACATTTGATTTTATCATGTCCAAAATACAGTATGTCGTCAACATAGATCAGTACATATTCAATAGAATTATTCTTTCTTTTTGTGAAAAAACATAGATCAGATGAAGTAGCTATAAAACCCATATCTTTAAGTATTTTTGACAGACATTCATACCATCGTTTACCAGACTGTTTTAATCCGTAAAGACTCTTATTTAATAGCCAAATCTCTCCCTTTTTTGTATTCTTTCCTGGGGGTGCCTTTACATATATTTCTTTATCAAGATCAGCATGTAGATACGCAGTTTGTACATCAAACTGATATACGTCTAAATTTAAAATGGAAGCTAGTACTAATGCAGTCTTTACACTTTCTGCTCTAACAGTTGGAGAGTATGTGTCTTCATAGTCATCAGGGAATCTTTGGGCAAACCCTTGAGCTACTAACCTAGCTTTATATAGGAATTTGCCATCTTCTAGCTCTTTGATTTTAAATATCCATTTAGTACCAATGGGGGACTTTTCTGTGGGGAGATCTGCTGGTGAGTATACGTTTAGTTCCTTCAAACTATCCATCTCCTTTTTCATTGCTTCCTCCCACTTATTTTTCTCTTCTAGAGGTAATTTAAGTATATCATCATATGTATTGGGTGTCAGATTTTTTGCATGGAGAGATAGTATGTAATCATCAAATCTTTTAGGAATTGTACCCCTATTAGATCTAATGGGTCTATCCGGAGGTTGTTCATTGCTATGCATATATTTAGCTTCCCTTTCAGTTAGTGGGTCTACTTTCAATATAGGATGTCCTTTCTTCCATTCATCATTAATTATTTTTGGATATTTGGGTTTGTTTGTCGTTATAATTTTGGGGTTGGTATCTGGTGAATAATGTTTTCTGTGTGTGTGTGTAGTGTTTTCTGATTCTGGGTATATCTCGTTGAGGTATATTTTTAACCAATTTGCATGTTCATGGAACACGGCAGATCTAGACACAATGAAATGGTTATTTTTATCAATGAAGTGATATCCCTTGGTTCCTGATTCGTACCCCATGAATATTAGTCTTTTGGATACTTTCTCTCCTTTGTGTCTCAATTGTCTAGGTACATATACATCAGCAGTTACGCCAAATATGTATAAATGCCCAATTTTTGGGTTTTTGCCATACATGAGTTCATATGGAGTTTTGTTGATTGCACTTGACCATAAGCGGTTTAGAGTATAATTAGAATAAGTAAGGGCCTCAGCCCAGAAGGATTGGTTTAAACCAGCATCGTCTAACACACATTTAACCATGGTTTGTAGTAAACCGTTCTTTCTCTCTGAGACTCCATTTTGAAAGGGTGAGACGGGACAAGATTTAAAGAGTAATATTCCCTGTAACTTTAGCCAATTGGAAAATTTGTTGGATAAAAATTCTGACCCTCTGTCGGTCATTATTTGTTTAATTTTAATATTATGTTGAGTTTCTACCATTTTAAAGAATTCCTTGAATTTTTTGAAAACTTCACTTTTATGGTTAAGGGTGTACACGAACCCAAACCTGCTGTAATCATCGACTATAGTTAGAAAGTATCTTTTTCTATATTTGATTGAAGGTTTCATTGGGCCTACAACATCCATATGAACTAACTGAAAAACTGATTGTGTGGTGTGAGTGGCTTTTTTTGGGCTTAGGTTTGTTTTTGAGCTTGGATGAATTGCATACGGAGCATTCTAAATAATTTTTACAGTTTTTTATTTTTAAGTCTTCGGAACATTCTAACATTTTCTGTATAACAGGGAAACTTGCATGTCCTAGCTTTCTGTGAAGTAAATGGGTACAGTTGTTGTGTATAGGTTTATCATTGTGTAAATTTTCTGATATAGTGGTTTCAATAGTTGGTATATTATTACCCCCTTCATGATTATCTGACTCTGCCTCTTTGTTTTTTAATTGATAGTGTGCACATATTAATTTGTTATTTTGTGGTAGTAGATATGTTAGTCCTTCATTAGTGAATAGTTTGCCTATGTTCCTGTTGTTTTTAGTCATGAATACTTTTCCATTTTTGAACATGGTCTCTACCTCATTTTCTATGCTTAGTTTTAGAGTTGCCAATATATTATTTGGAATTTCGGGTATAAATAGTACCCCCTCTATTTTTCCTATACCTTTTATATGCGTGTCACCTACTCCTCTTACTAGAACTTCATTTTGGTTTGCTACTTTTATGTAATATTTTCTTTCTGTGAAGTTGTTGAGGATTTTTCTATTGTGAGTTGTGTGGCTTGTGGCTCCAGAGTCGATGAGCCATGTGTTGAGTGAATCTGATGTTGATGTATTACTGTCTTTTATTCCATATAGTGATTCATTTTTGTTTTCTCTAGGGTTGTCTCTGTATATTTTCTTTTCTTTTGAATGTGGTGATTCCCTGCTTTTATATCTGTAGTCAGGAGAAGTTCTATCTAAGAAATGTATTCTTCTATCTTTGTGATAATATGTATCTCTATATCCTGCGTTCTTGGGGCAGTCTCTTTTTTGATGTCTTTCAGATCCACATATTGAGCATTCATGTGGGTATCTGTCTCTGACTCTGAAATCTGTCCTTTTTTAATTTCTGCCTTCTCTTTGATGTACAGATCATTCCCTTCTAAGTTTGTCTTCAGCTATAAGTTTATTGGTGAGGTTTTCTAAGGTGAGATGTTCTAAATTTAAGCTATCAAGTAAAGTAATGTAGTTATCGCAGCTGGTGTCTAATGAATTGATTATAATGCTTTTCATAGTGCTATCAGATATATTTTCCTCCCTTTGAATGAGCTCTGCTCTGGTTGCATTCAGATTTAGGATATGTTCGCTCATAGATGTATCATGTTTTAGTCTGGCAGAATAGAATTCTCTTGAAATTCTAGTAGTTGTGGCTACACTTTTGCTATAAAATAAATTAAATAATTTTTGGTATGTTTCAGATATAGTTAGATTATGTTCAAGACTAGGAAAAATACTTGGAGAAATAGAAGCAATTAATATATAATAAGCCTTATGGTGGAGGCAGTCTATTTCATAAGTCCAAGGTTTGTCTGGTGGATCATCAATAAAGAATAAAATGTTTTCCCTCAAATATATAATTTGTAAATACTGGCTCCATTCCATTAAGTTGCTTCCATTTAATTTTAATTTTATAAAGTCTGTAGGTAGTGTCCCAGAGTGTTGTGAGAAATTACTTACATTCAGGAGCTGTCCATGGTTTAAAACCTTAGCATACTCGCAATAAGGCATAGGTATGGTAGAGGCATGTCTGTATTTACTTATCTCTATGTTTTGGCTGGATCTGTGCTGACTTGTATTTATGTCTTCTTCTTTTTTCTTTGCAGGTTCGTTCTGCGCATGCTCAGACCTCATTCTTCTCCAGCAGTCGACGAGAGAGGATCCTGTGCTTGCGGCTCCCGGGATGAAGTCCCAGTCGGCCTTCTGGTCTTTGTCTTTGTCTCCGGAAGGCTCCTGGTGGCTGAAGAATGTCCGGGATGCCGTCCAGCTCATCGGGAAGTCTCCAGAACCGCGGCGATCAGAAAGAACTTCATCGGAGGCTTGGCGGCCATGTTTTTCGATGCGGCTGGAAAGCGGAGCTCGATGCGGATCATCATTGGCGGTGAAATCGGGTCGCTCAGCAAGGTTTTCTGTGGCATGTAAGTATGGTACTTTTAATTTTGGTTGTTGGTTGTCCTGTGTGGGCCTCTGGTAGTATTTTTCAGGGTGTGGTTGCCAGTGCGTTTTTTCTTGGTTGGTTATTTTTTCTTCTGGTTGAGAGTTTGATAATTTTAGCTTAGCTTTGACTGCTGCGTTTAACACCTGCATGGCATTATGTATCTCTAGTTCATTAGGTTGGTTAGTATATTTGCTCCATAGTTGTTTTCTATTTATTTCTGAAATCGGTGAGTTATTTTCTTTGTAGGTTTTGTTTCCCGCTTGGTAATTTGAATTTCGCAAGTCTTTTAGTGATTGGTCGGCCATTTTAGAAGGAATAGATGTATAAGATGGCCGCCATGAAAAAGGCGGGAAACCATTGCTAGCTTCATTGTTAGTGTTGTAGTCAGGAGTTGACTTTCTTACCGTGGATTTTTTATGTTTGATCTCTTCATCTGATGCTGCTCCGTGATTGTTTGCTAGGCTGTGGAGTTTCGCGATCAGACTTGAGTCATCTGGAGTCATTTTTATTAAGTCTAGTATTTTTCTTTTTATGTCACCTTCCCTGTTTGAGGCTGAGGGAGCGACTTCTGTTTCATCTATCGATTGTTTGGAGTTTGTCAGGAATTCCTTTTCTTGGAATTGTGTATATTTCTTCATTTCTTCAGTTAGTGTATTTTTTTCAGTAGTCAGTTGGGCTGCCATTCTTTTATTTATTTCTTTTTGTGATTCTTGCATTTTTAGGTTGGTTGGGCCTACCAAACCATCCTCTTGCTACCAATTTGTTACTTGTTTAATTATTCTGGTCAGGCCCAATATAAAAGACTGAAGCCTTTCTTATAACAAAGGTATTTATTTCTTGTCTTCCTCAGGATTACATTTGGACAGCAGAGGTTCTGACAGAAGCAACGACTTATATACAGAGGAGGCGGGGCAAAAGGTAAGTAGGGACCAATGGCAAGGAGCATAATGACATCACACAATAACATATATACATATATACATATTTACAGAAAACAAGTTAGGTATTTTCAATTGTAACATGCATGTCTTTCCAAACCACATGCAGGAGTGGTTTGTTTGATTATGTAAATCTACTTCAAGAATAACAGAATATGAGAAGAACAGAATTAGAAGAGACCTTGGAGGTTTTCTGGTCCAACTCCCCCCTGGCCCCCGCTCAAGCAGGAGACAGGAATTTCCAGGTGAGTTAGTGGCAACTATCTTTCATTCATCTTTCCTATTTATTGATTGATAAAGTTCCTTTGCTGGTTTGTCAATGAATTCCTTTTCTCCAGGCTAAAATCCAACACTTTTTTTGTTTTAGCTAAAATACTCCTGACTTTCTATTTGTCACAATAAAGCCTATATGACCAGTAATGCCCAAGAGATACTTTGGTTCCCACATATCCTAGGTAGGGTTTATACTAGCTATAGCTAAAGGGAGTTCCCATCCAAAGTCTTTGGTGATCATCAGAGGGCTCACAAAATCCTACCCCATATCCTAGAATCCGTCAGGATCCCTCTATCTACCAGTTCTCTGATCCTGTGGAGCTCCTCCACGGGATCAGAGTCCTGGTGTTTAAAAGGCCATCTGCCAAATTCTTCTGCTACCTGCCCCAACTCGGTACCAAACCCCAATGCTGAACTTGTGATAAAAGATTTTAAAACTAGTGAGAAGCACAAAAGTGGATAATGGATGGGAAATTACTGGGAAGAAATTATCCAGCTATAATAGGTATCAACAAACCCCTCTAGCAAGAAAAATACACATTTCCATATTCAGAAATACTATTTTACCATCAAGATTAAAAGTTGTACAATAATGTAAAGAAAGATAATTAACTTTCAAGACAATTCAATTGCTACCCAACGTTACAAGTGGAAGATGTTAATGAAAGATTGACTTACCAGGCATCCATTTTTTGGGGATCACGCACAATTCTCTTAGCACAAATAATATCATCTGTGATGTCATCAGTTGTGAAAGCTGCCAAGAAAAGCAAATTAAAATATGTCCCAACCCAGATGTTTCAAAAAAAATTTTTTTTTCAAAGACTTGCATAATATTACTATTTAAGGCAGATTCTTACCCAAGTGGCACTTTAGATGTAGGACGTCAATAGTTATTATGTAATGCATTCACTTCTTTAACAGTGTAAGGTACTTTTTATACAGCTGGTGTAGAACATGAAATGACATTTCTCAACCTCTAAGTGTGTAGAGTAACAGGTCTGAAAAGTGTAGAACACTGGGAATCTGTTTTCCTTCTGGAGCTGAATATGCAGACTTCCCGACAGTCTTTCTGCACTCTTGGATATGAGTGAGAGAAGAATTGTCTCACCAAAGTCCAAGAACCAGATTTCTCTGACAAAGGGCAGAGAGCACTGGATCAGGTTCCTTGCTAGTTGGAGTTCTATGGCTGCCTTTAACTTGTGCCTCTGGGCAAGACATTGACTAATGTTGGGGTGGATGGTGTTTGGAGGCACAAAGTAAGATATGGCTGTGAAAAGGAAGTTAAAAGATTTGTGAGAATTTGGGAAATGGAGTACAAAGTGGAGGAGCAGATTGAGGAAGGCTAAGAGGCCAACAGAAAATATGGTGGCTAGATACCATCACAGTTAACCCAATCAGGAACTTGAAACTACTTTGAGAGACAGAATGATTTAATGCCAAACTTCATGAAGCACTGGACAAAAGTGAACAAATACAAAGACCAATAAAGGAGAAGAAGAACTAAAACCCTAACAGTTCTCCTAACAACTCTTATATTCCTTCATCAAGATAATTTCTTCCCTACACGAGGTGTCTTACCAGTGCAAGCCGTATCACAGCCATTAGCTGTAGGGCCCTGGGTATTATTGCACCACCAGCGGCTGTTTATCTGGAAAATCCCATAGTCGCGACTGCCATCCGAGTTTGGTGGTCCCACAGCTCGGGTGTTGTATCTGCTCTCATGATAGGCCATACAGATCCCTGGAAGAAAGCAAACAAGGAAAGGAGTATAAAACGTTATTGTTATAAATTAAAAGTTATCCTGGTTTCTTACACAGAATATTTAACCATCTTCAATCATTCTTCCCCCAACCAAGGAAGGATCCAAGGACCCATTCCTCTTGAAAACCTGGACCAGGCTAAAATAGAGAGATAGAAAGAGTAAACTCACGACTTCCGGTTGGGGATTGTGGCGGCAGGGTGCTGTGTGAGCGAGCTCCGCTCCACGGCACTAGCTTTTTCGCCGTGTCTTGGGGACCCTGAGGGGTGAGATCGCCCAGAGAGCGTCTCGGACAAGAGAGGGGATCTGGAAAGCGAGAGAGCGGCGTGCAAACGCCTCTCGCTTGGACAGATTCCTCTGTCAAACCAGCATCGGTGCGTCCGCCGTTTAATGACGGACCCGAAGTCGCGATCTCCAGCAACAACGACGAAGCAAGGAGTTTGGGCGGTCAACGTGAGAAGGAGACGCGATCACAAATCCCTGGCGATCGTAGGAGCAGACCTCAAAGAACTGCAAGCCAAGCCAGCTAATAGGACTCACGGCGGTGGGAAGGCGACGAATATCAACAATAGAGCAGGCTGATCAAGTGTGAACTGCTGGCGAGGCTGCAAGGAGGAAGGAGAACTTACTGTGCCGAGGGAAGGTGAAATCAGCTGTAGGCATTTCGTATATCGACCGTGGATGAAGAGGCTCAGACTCAGATTTGGTGGATAATACCATGAGGATACATTGCAATAATACTTCTTGCTGTCATCTTGCTGTCATCTTCCAGCTGACTGGCTTTTCCCGAAGGAAGAAACCGGAAGTGCAGCCATATGCTATTACGGATACTTGAAACTTGACAACAGGAATAATTGTGTAACATTCTGAGCTGCGATCTTTTCTCCCAATTGTGTTCCTGCTTATTAAGACTTGCTGATTGTTGGACCTATTTGAGACTTTTTTCTTAATTAACTGAGACATCTCTTTAAGTGGAAGAACTCCCTTGAAAGTGGCAGTAGTCAACTAAACAAGAGTAATGAACTTCATAAAACACCGTTTATAGAACTCTTTATCAACTATCAATATTATTACTGATACTAATATTGATACTAACTTATCAATTTATTAATCTATTAATTAACTTATTAACTTATTACCTTATTAATTATTCTATAATTATCTCTCTATTTATATAGTTGCGAAGCCTTTTTTTTTCTTTCTTGGTTAACTATTCTAGATAACTTTTCCTGTCTCCCTCTAAGAGTACTATATATTATCTTGAAAAAAACCTAATAGATTTTAATTTACTCCTATTGTATAACCTTTTTCTATTTGAATTGTTACCCTTTTATATTTAGCACATTGATACCTATATTTATACTTATATAAGAATTATTTATAGATTGTGTTTGATGAATTTAATAAGGGTGGAATAGTATCTCTACATTAGTATTGCAAAGTTAAGATTGAAGAGATTGAGTATTTATTACGATATATAGATTTGGATTAATTAATTATACTTAATTTTATATATAGATATAACCTAGATCATAATTGGAACTAGCACTTAGCAATCATATTGAGTTTATTTATATATAATTTCGTATAATAATATCTGTAAGAACTGTTGCGTGCAGACAGGAAAATTGAGTAAATTTAGGATTAGAAGAATTAAGTGAATCTTGCTATTAGAAGAGAGGATAGTGGATGATAATTTGGAAGAACATCGAGGTAATTTTGACAAACCAGAAGAGAATCCTAAAGGAGATGACAAGCATTTCATCGGCAGTATTTAAGACAGGAAAGAAAATGTCCTCCAACCCTGTATTAACAATGTCCTCTCCAGCCCAGCAAAAATCTACTGAGGTGCTAACAAAAGCGGATAAGTCAGCAATGTTACCAACTATTCAAGCAATACAAGTGACCCTGTCAACTAGTCAAGAAACGATGCTCCTGTTACAAGAAAAAATGACTAATAACCATGTTGAACTTAAATCTGATATTCACTCTATCGATCAGAAAATGAGTAAGATCCAGGAGTCCATCCATAACAACGAGAAAAAGATAAAGAAGGTTGAGACGAGAGTGGAGCAAAATGAGAGAAATCTTGACTCAATCGACCAGAAATTGATGGCACAGAATAGGGAGTTGGAAGATTCTATTATCCAGCTCGAGATGGACCGGGCAGCTTTTTACCTTCGTTTTCAGAATGTGGTGGAGGAAAAAGACGAAGACCTGGGAGATGTTATGGTGGATCTAATAGCTGGAATTTTACAACAAGATAAAGATATTATAAAGGAGCTGGATGAAATTTACAGGGTGCAAACCAACTATGCCAGGAGAAATAAACTCCATTGAGAAGTTCATGTCAGATTTGCCCGAAGGAAAGTGAAAGACATGCTATACAATATAGTACCTATTAATTTTAAAGGCAAAGAAGTAATAGTACTGAAACAAGTTCCTAAGAGGGTTCGTGATCTGAGAAGGGACTACAGGTTCTTGGCGATACAACTAAACAAGAGAAGCATTCCCTTTAGATGGCTTATACCAGAGGGAATGCTCATCACCTGGCAAGGGAAACGGATTAAGATCGACAGTCTAGTCTCCGCACAAGAACTTTTGGACCAACTGAGAAGTGAGGAGGAAGGCCAAAGTAGCAAGGAGGAATTGGATATAGCCTCCCAGGATGAGACCAACCCACAGTTAAAAAAATCTAAGGAAGGTACACTAGAGGATAAGGAGTCAGAAGAGAAGGAAGCCAAAGAAACTACAGGAAAGAAGCAAAGACCACAAAGAGCTGTAAATATAAACAAAAACTACGTAGTTAGTTAGATAATGGAGGGTTGGAAATTGTTCTCGGTGAATGTAAACGGTTTAAACAACGGAAGGAAAAGAAAACATATTTTTTCAAAATTGATCAAACTTAACCCGGAAATAATTTGCCTTCAAGAAGTCCACATAAAGAAAGAGGAGAGGAAATATTTAGAATTTGAGAAATTTGGCAAATGCTTTACCTCTCTGGCAGAGAAAAAAAAAAAGGGGGGGGTAGCATTATATATATAAAAAGGAATTGCTGCTGAATTTAAATATTCAGATAATAAAGGGAGATTTCTCGCAATTGAAATCAAGAGGGGTAGTATCCCAATTTTAGTAGTAGCCATTTATGCTCCAAACAGAAACCTAGGAGAATTCTACAGGAAATTAATCAATAAAATAGCTGAATTGGAATATACAAATATTTGTATTATTGGGGACTTCAACGGGGTAGTAAACCCGGAGGTGGACCACAAGAGCGGATTAAAGAAAAAAACTAAAAGGGAAAAACTCCCCAAAACCTTTTTTGATTTGGTTGATGAGCACAATTTAGTAGATCTCTGGCGTACTCTACATCCGAGTGATAAGCAATTTACATACTACTCAAATCCCCAGATGTCCTGGTCAAGGATTGATATGTTTTGGGTCAGTAGAAATTTAGGGTTAGATATTCATTCGGTTGAAATTACCCTGAACGTTTGGGCTGATCACAACCCTTTAGAGATTAAGTGGAAGAGCCCAAATAGGATTAAATGAAGGAGATGGAGATTAAATACCCATATTCTTAGGGAAGTAGAGTTTACTAAGAGCCTGCAGAGGGACCTACAATTTTTCTTTCTGGAGAATGAGAATCAGGAAACTCCACTAACATGTGTTTGTGATACAATGAAAGCCTACTTAAGAGGATTAGTAATATCGCATAATATATATAACAACAAAGAGAAAAGGAAGGCTCAGAAGGATCTGCTGGCCCAACTGGAAGAAATAGAAAAGAGACTACAACAAGACCCGAGCGATATTAAAATAAAAGAGCAATGGATGACAGCAAGGCATAAATTAAATTTATTGGAACAGGAAGAATTGGCGAAAAAAATCAAACAATCCAAACAATATTATTTCGATAATGCAAATAAGCCCGGGAGATGGCTATCGTACAAATTAAAAAAAGAGAAAGAGAAGGGTGTTATAGACGGCCTGGAGAACTCGGAAGGCAGAATATTAGAGGATGAGGAGGAGAAACTTGAGTTTGTTAGACAGTACTATGAGACATTATATAATGAGGAGGAAACTTCAATCGATAATATTAATCAGTACTTCGCTAAAGAGAATCTCCCACAGATAAAGGAGGAGGAAAGGGAAGCGTTAAATAGAGAAATTACATTAGAGGAACTGAAGGGGGTAATATCCAAATTAAAGAGTAACAAAACGCCTGGTCCCGACGGCCTCCCAGGAGAATTATATAAAAACCAGAATCTGGCAGAAATACTCGTACCAAAACTTCTGATAATATGCAACGAGGCCCTGAGAGGCTCCAGGATCCCAGAATCGTGGAAGAGGCATTCATCACACTGTTAGGAAAAGAAGGTACCGATCCCAAGCAAGTAAGGAACTACAGACCGATCTCCTTACTCAACACGGATTACAAAATATTTATGGGAATATTAGCGGGTAGGTTGAAGATAATATTAAATAATTGGATTCACCCCGACCAAAACGGGTTCCTCCCCGGTAGACAGATTAGGTCTAATATGAGAGTGGTGATGGATGTGCTGGAGTATTATGAAATAAACTCCAAGAAACAGCTGGCCATGGTCTTCCTCGATGCCCAGAAGGCTTTTGACAACTTAAACTGGCGATTTTTGACCCAACAAATCCAAAGAATGAATTTCGGGGGGTATTTCGAGAACGCGATAAAAGCAATTTACGATAAACAGAGCGCAAATATTATACTGAATGGGGATGTAACTAAATCCTTCCGGATTGGTAAAGGGGTGAGACAAGGCTGTCCACTTTCTCCACTCTTATTTATATTAGCCCTGGAGGTATTGTTAAGGAAAATTAGGCAAAACAAAGAAATACGGGGATTGGAAATTAGGAATGAAACCTTTAAGATTCAAGCTTTTGCCGACGATGTAGTGTTGATAATGGAGGACCCACTAACAACAGGGTCAAAAGTATTGAAAGAACTAGATGAATACGGGAAGCTGTCAGGATTTAAATTAAATATGACAAAAACTAAAATGTTAACAAAAAATATCCCAATAAGAGAACAGGAAATACTAGTAAATAATTTGGGTATTCAAATAGTTAAGAAGATTAAATATCTAGGGATTTGGATTACTGCCAGATGCTCAACCTTAAAGGAAGATAACTATACACCCTTACTGACAAAGATAAAGCAAGATTTGGATAGATGGGGGAAATTGCAAATATCGTTCCTCGGTAGGATAGCCACTGTCAAGATGAGTGTTCTCCCCAAATTACTATACTTATTTCAAACCACTCCTGTTAGTATTGACAGAAAATATTTTTCGGACTTAAATGGGATAGTAAGGAAGTTTATCTGGGGAGGGAAAAAACCGAGAATTGCATTACGGTCCTTGCAGGAAAAAAGGAATAGGGGCGGATTCGGACTCCCAGTCTGGGAACTATACCATAAAGCGGCCAATTTAGTATGGCTACGAGAGTGGGCCTTATTAAGAGATAAGAGAATTTTACAACTGGAAGGGCACGACCTATTGAGAGGCTGGCATGCCTACCTCTGGGACAAAGGAAAAGGGACAGGGATATGTTTCCACCAACATAAAATTAGAGATACATTAATGAAGACATGGAAAGAAATCAGGCATAAACATTATTTAAAATACCCAAAATGGATATCCACAATGGAGGCACTGATCCATCCAAATACGTTAGGCAGGGAGAAAATGGTCACCTACCAAGATATCTTGGATAACAGTGGTAACCTTATACCCAATGAGATGCTAAAAGAGCAAGGGATCCATATAGATTGGTGGCCCTATTTACAAATTAAATCCCGTTATAGTAAAGATAGACAAGAAAAGGGAATAGAGATGGGGACAAATAGTTTGGATAAGGTATGGCTAGGTAGTGAGAACAAATTATTAGCCAAATTATACTCCTACCTCCTCGAATACGACAGAGAAGGAGAAATATTAAAAGATCAAATGATCGCTTGGGGGAAAAACATTGAATCAGAGATAAATCTTGATGATTGGGAAGAAATATGGAATAGCAATCTTAAACTGACGAGAGCAACAAGCTATAAGGAGAATCAGTATAAGATGCTATATAGATGGTACTTAGCACCATCTAGAATTGCTAAGATTTACCCAAATGCAAGCCCCAAGTGTTGGAAATGTGGTCACCACCAAGGTACCTTCTATCACATGTGGTGGACATGTCTGGAAGCGAGGAAGTTTTGGAAAAAAAATACAAAAATGGATCCAAGAAATATTAAAGGAGGATATTAACTTCCTCCCAGAAATCTATCTCCTGGGAGTGCTAAAACGAACATTTGGAAAGGACAAGAAATATTTGATTATTCATATTGTCACAGCTGCTAGACTCTCCTATGCCAGATATTGGAAAGAGAAAAAAGGACCAACTGAGGAACAGATAGTCAATAAGATACTTGACTGCGCAGAAATGTGCAGATTAACGTATGTGTTAAACAGAAAGGAGGATTCAGAATTTTATACGATCTGGGATCTGTGGTATAGGTGGTTAGAAATTAAATGCAAAAGTTAATACTCATGTGGAATAATGCAAAACGATTAGTTAACCCTAGATATTATTGTACTCTAATTAAACAGTAATCAATTTTACACACAATAATTTTTGTACAAACTGTATAAATAATTAGATAATTGATTAGATACCGCACTTGTAAATATACAATATGACTACACATTGCCGAACCGTATAGTTTGAATTGTAATATGTTCTTAATTCAATAAAATTTCATAAAAAAAAAAAAGAAAAAAAGAAAGAGTAAACTCACAGTTGTCCAATTTGTAGTCATGATATCCATCCATGCCCTCATTTTTCAGACGTGAAGCCAGTTCACATTTGGTAAATACTTTGGCTTCATTGGCTGCAATGAGGAGGAAGAGGAGAGTGAGCGATAGGGCCTTCATTGCTGCAGCTTCTCAGAGGAGGATGTCTGACTTCGCCAGTGTGGCTACTGGATTTTATTGTCACAGCTTGTATAAGAGGAAACTCAGGAGAGATTGACAACAAAGTATGTGGCAATAGTAATTCCCAAAGTTGAAGCAATAATGGAGTAAACAGAAGAGAGTGTTGAGGGCAAAGTAGAAGAAAAAATATTTTTAACACTCATTTTTAATTTTGTAAGAAGCTAAACCAATTTTTTAAAAAGAGTGAGAAAAGCATTTTTAGCTCCCTGAGAGATCCTGGGTCAAAGGGAATGACGTGCCAAAAATGAACAAGTGATGGTTCCAATTGCATGATTGAAGCCCCATCATTTTTTATGTGTTTTGCATGTGACGTATGTGAAAAAGGAGGAGCCTGGTGGCGCAGCAGACTAATAGCCTGTTATTAACGTCCAGCTGCCTGCAATTACTGCATGTTCGAATCTCCCCAGGCTCAAGGTCGACTCAGCCTTCCATCCTTTCTAAGGTAGGTAAATTGAGGACCCAGTTTGTGGGGGCAATAAGCTGACTTTGTATAAATATACAAAAGGATGAAGGCTATTGCTTAGCACATTGTAAGCCGCCCTGAGTCTCCGGAGAAGGGCGGCATATAAATTAAATTAAAAAAAAAAAAAAAGGAAGAGGGCTTTTATTGTGTGGTGACTGCTGCCTTCTTGATTTTTTGGGACCCCAGTCCCAAAGACATTCCTCTCTCTCATTTGGTTGTGGTTTCTGTCTGGTTGTTTCAATACAACTCTAGTTTCAGTGAATATTTTTTGGTCTCATGAAGTTTGCGGAGAAATGCAACATACTGAAATTACTCAGAGAACTGTATTATTTCAGTTTGGTTTTATTGCCTTATTATCCTCCTTGAGGGCACATAAAGAGGGAGAGGGAGAAAGGTGAGGATGAGGCTCTAGTTTTGTATTTTCTGCTCTTATAGGAGAATCTGACATGGATGCACAATGAATTCATACCTTCTAGCAACTTGTCACTCTTAACAGGATGCTTTATTAAAAACTTTCTGAAACATGATCTTGAATTCTTTTAATTTAAAATTTAATTTAATTTGTTTGGCTTGTGGCCATGGTGAGAAATATGGACGTGAATTGGTAGAGCAAAAATTCCTGTGTTAGATTAGTCATCGATTCCTCTGAATAACATTGATTATGTGTCATCAAGTCTCTGTTAGCTCTTAGTGACCATACAGATGGTTTTTTTCTCCATCATGATCTGAAATTGCTGAATTCTGCAACCGGGTTTTGTAAATTATTCACAGTATGGGTCACTGCAGTGAACTCTACACAGGCTGTCCTGGAAGGCTATCCAGGAGCCAGATCTGGTCCGGAAGTGGGCAGCAGAGGCAGGGATGGGGTTAGTTAATTGCCACTTGGTTTCTGGGGGAATTCAAGGTACTGGTTTTTATTTGGAAAAACTCTATGTGGTCACAGGATGCTTCATCTCCAATTTTATCTGTGTATCTAATATTATTCAGAGACTAAGGAGACTTAATTTTCTTAGAGTCCTGCGGAAAAATCAGGTAGAACAACAGCTGATTACTTCTTTCTATCGGTCCACAATAGAAAGTGTCCTCACATACTGATTAGCAGGCAACTCAGCTGGGATCGTCAGAGCTTAGATCGCCAGAGCCATGTAAAACAAAAAAGTTTTTTCCTTTTACATGGCTCTGGCGATCCCAGCTGAGTTGCCTGATTAGCAGGCAAAGCTGGGATCATCAGAGCTTGGATCGCCAGAGCCATTTAAGGCTTGTCAGAGCCTTTCGGGCTGGTCTGCCTGGTTACAGGAGAACGACACCCGGCGTATAAGACGACCCCCGACTTTTGAGAAGATTTTCATGTGTTAAAAAGTCGTCTTATATGCCGGAAAATACGGGTAGGTGAAATAAGTAGTAGGTCAGGTCAGGAAGCAACACTGTAAGGAATACAAGCATACCACCTCATTGTGTCAATTCTCTTGAATTTTGAAAGTTTGTTAAAGCTTGTCTCTTTACCTGTCCTCTAAAATATGTGTCTTACCACTGCAAGGCTTATGCAGCCATTAGCTGTATGGCCCTGGTAATTGTTGCACCACCAGCTGCTGTTTATCTGGAAAATCCCATAGTCGTAACTGCCATCCCAGTTTTGCTGTCCCACAGCTTGGGTGTCGTATCCACTCTGATAAAAAGCCATGCAGACCCCTGGAAGAAAACAAACAGGCATAGGTCTATAAAAAGCATATGCTGTAAATGAAAAAGCTGTTCTAGTTTTTTAAATAGAACATTTAAAACAGAATGTTTAACCATATATTCATTCTTCCTGAACCAAAGAAGGACCTGAGAAGTCCAATATATATTGGACACCTTCAGGAGAATTTGGAATAAAACTGAATCTTATCTCCAAGATATTCCTGCCGTTGTTAATGGCACATAAAGCCACCTCTCCTTCCTTCTCTTTTCTTAAACTGGGCTTTCCAAGGAGGAGGTACTTTTCCATTGTGGGACTTTTGCAATACCACAAATGTGGAAAATCTTCTGTGATGGCCCCTTCAACTGTATCCTGAATTAAAATGATTTGGGGCAATCTGAAGGATCTTTCATTTGAGAGGATGCTTATCCTGGCACAAATAAACTCTATTCTGAAGAGAAGAAATCTAAGCCAGTGATTGTGAAAATACAAAAACCGAAGTGGTCTAACCACACTCCTATTCTGCTGTTGTGCAAACAGGCCATGAAGTGGATATTGATCACCCTCTTAAAACTAAGGGTGTTAATGCAGGGAGATCTTCTGAGACATTTGGGATGGGACAAAAGCATATTTTACCATTCTAAGAAAATTGAACAGAGCTTTTTATTCATTGGGTGGTCTGGATGAATTCTTTCTGGGAAGGAAGTTCCCCATTTTGCATCCGCCTTGCAAACCTGGAACTTGCGAAGGTGGAGAAAAAGATTGAGTAAACTCACAGTTGTTCAAACTGTAGCCATGATATCAATCCAGGCCATCTCACTTTAGAATTGAAACCAGTTCACATCTGGAATATCGTTTGGCTTCACTGGCTGCAATGAGGAGGAAGAGGAGGGTGAGCACTAATGCCTTCATTGCTGCAGCTCCTTGGAAGATGATGGCTGATTTTTCCAGGATGGCTACTGGATTTTATAGTCACAACTTGAGAAACTGGCTCCTTTAGGCTTCCGGTTTGGCTTCCGTCGCTGCCAGACGGTCTTTCGGGACCGCCAGCCTCGTTGCCTGTAAAGAGCCGTCTCTACAGCTGAGAGACGGCTCGAAAAACTCTATCTCCTTGAGGAGACATGAGATAGAGCCGGTGAGGAGAGATAGAGCCCTCTGCGAACTCCCCAGAGTTTTTTTTTACTCTTGGGGAGGAAGCAGAATGTGGCTCGCTATTCAGCTCGCCGCTGCTCTGGGCTTTGGGGGAACGCTGCTTTTTGCAGAGCCAGGCGACGGGACCAATCCAATTAATGAAAACTAACAGATTGTCTAAACAAACAGGATGAAATCCGGATTTGGGACCCTAAATCGCAAGTATTTCTAACAATTCTATAAGTGATTTTAAAAGCGAAGAAAAAAAGTTTAAAATGGCGACTGGCTGAGGCTTGAGAAGAAGAAAGCTGAAAGTGAAAGTCCTTCCACCTGAATAGTTTAATACGTTACAAAGTATCTGAAATAACAGCGCTGGCTAGAATTGAAGAGAAAAATTTCTATTTTATATTTCTTTCTTCTTAGAGACTTGATATTGATACCGTTTGGAGAGAAGTCTTTTTCTTTAAAAAGAGTTTGTCTGTGTGGCAGGATGGCATTAAAACTGACAAAGCCAGACAAACAAGCAGCGGGGGGGGGGGCTCCCCCATTTACAAATCATATGAACAAGTTTTGAGCTTGCAGATTCAGAAGAATGGTTTTAAAGACCTAAAGGAATTTGTTTTGGAGGAAATGGCAAGACATGATGAGATTGTGAACCAGAATCTTGAAAAATTCAGGCAGGAAATTAAAGAGTTGGTACAATGAAAATATGCCAACTTGAAACAACAGATTGTAACAGCTTTGAAAACTTTCTCAGAAATAGTTATAAAGATGGATAATGATACCAACTTAGAATTAGAGTCTAAAATGAAGGAAGCTGATAATAAGTTTTATAATTTGGATAATAAAATACAAAGAATTGAAAATGATTTGATAAATATTCAAGACAATAGCTCAGAAGTAAAGTCTAAAATAAAGGAAGCTGACCACAAGATTTACAATGCAGACAATATAAAACAAAGGATTGAAAAAGAAGTTATAATGATGCAATACAGGTCCATGGAATTTGCGGTCAGAATCAGGGGAATACAGGAAAATAACAGAGATGATTTGAGAAAGATGTCTGCTGAAGTTCTGGCTGGGATTTTAAAGGTTAGTCCTGAAGAGGTATCCTGTAGGATTGATAAGGTCTACAGAGTGAATTCTTGGGTTGCAAAGCAAAGGCAGTTGCCTAGAGATGTGGTGATTTACTTTACTGATAGAGTAATAAGAAATGATATTGTGCAAAAGTCTTTTAACTCCACTCTGGAAAGGAACGGAAGGAAGATTTGGATATATAAAGAGCTGCCGTCCAAGATGTTAAAAGATAGAAAGGACTTTGGATTTTTGGTGACTGAGCTAAAGAAACAAAACATCCCATTTAGGTGGGATGCTCCAGTTGGTATAATATTGAGATATCAAGGAGAAAGATATCAACTAAATACTGTTGAAAAAGCGGAAGAATTTTACTACAAGGTTTTTAAAATGGATCCAACATCTCCATGTATGCCATCAGTGTTAGGAACACAGGAGGGGAATAAAGAAAAGCAAAATGAACAAGAGACTGAAACTCAGGCTAAGCAGATGGAGATGGAGATAATGGAAAAACAACAAGTTGCAGAGGCCCTTTTGGATGAGCCGCTTTTGGATTCTCCTTCAGAGGTTATAGCTGGATTACCTATAAATACAAGAGAGGCAGCTTTGGATTTTAATGTGATGTCTTATCAAGTTATAGACCAGCATGGAAATCAATCAGCTGATATGCAAGTTCTAGAAAGGCAACTAGGATGGAGATCTAAACCACAAAAAGCCAAGAAAAGAAGAAGCAGGTCCTACAAAACCAAAAAATTTTAAACTAAACAACAGTCTAATGCCAGTTACTTAAGAGACGACTAAATATAATAAGCGGGATTTATAGAAGGCTGATACATGAAAATATAACTGAGGCAAATTATTGACTTATACTATTTTGAGAAGAATAACAGATCTCTGCAATGTTGGTGCTTTTGGGATGTGGAAGATGGCCTCTGATTGAATGGATTGGAACTTTCTATTTTGGACTCTTTGAAAAATGGATTACGTATATGTTGAGTTATGTGGCAAGAGATCTATGGGATTGGGGCATGCAGAAGATCTGGTTGTTACCCCAATGTGGTGGTTGGAATTAACAATCTAGATAAAAGACACTACAGAAGATACTACATGGAATATAAATATAAAGTCACTCGGGTGGTTTTTTATATATGAAAATACTTATTATTGATGGGGGCAGATGGTAATTGAAGATACTGAATATACTGTTGGAAGCTGAACCTGATATTACCCTAACATGGGTGATGGAATTAATAATCCAGTTGAAAGACATTACAGAAGATATTATATGGAATACAAATTTAAAGCCATCTGAGGATTTTACTTATATATGGAAATATTTTTTAGTGGTGTGGTGTGGGCAGAAGAACAAAGATATTAAAAATATTATGTATGTTAGACCTGTAGGAAAATGGGTGGAGATAGGTTATTGATTGTTTAGTTTAGGAAAAGGGATGTTATGTTTAGCTATAAATATATGCAAAAGATTTGAATTAAGAGATATATGTTTGGGGGTGGAGGAAATGGGTAGATTATGAGTTGAATAAATGCCAAATTAGGATTTATTATATAGTTTTATAGCTGAAGGTTGCTTTGAAAAGTATAGTATAGTATAGGGGGGATATAATAATAATGTTAGAAAGAAATGGTTAGCATGTGGGGGGTGGTGTAAAAGGATGGTAAAGTATTATATAATTTGATGTTAATTTGGATTTTATTTTGGAGAAGCCATGGGGGAAGGGGAGGGGGAGGGGGGGTTAGGGTGGAGGGGGGGGGAATGGGGAAAAATCTGTATTTGAAAAACTTTTTCAATTAAAAAAAAAAGTGAGAGAAAAACTGGCTCCTTTGGAGGGATGGTAAACAAAGTATGTAGCAATAAGATTTCCCCAATCTGTGGTTATTATGGATTGACAAGCATAACAGTTGAGGGCAAAAAACCAATGAGGAAGAAAAAGAAAGGTCATGGATGTGATGGAGGGTTGAGGAATCAGTGGAACACAAACCATGAAAAAGGTTTAACTGTCATTTTCAATTTCATAAAAAGCCAAACCTAACTAACAGTGGGTGAGAAGAGCATTTGTGGCACCTGAGGAGATCCTGAGTCAAAGGACTCTACATGAGGGGTAACAAAAATGTACAAGTGGGGGCTGCAAGTGAGAGTTTGAAGCTCAACCATTTTATGGTCTTGCACATGAAAAAGGAACAGGATGTTCATTGTGTGGTGGCTTCTGACAGCGTTATTTTTCAGATTCCACACATAAACATTCCTCTCTGGGGGACCCAATGCTTATTTGAGTTTTTGTTTGTTCGAATTACGATTCTCTCTCTCTCTCTCTCTCTCCCTCTCTCTCCCTCTCTCTCTCTCTCTCTCTCTCTCTCTCTCGCTCTCTCTTTCTCTCTCTCTCTCTCTCTCTCTCTCTCACACACACACACACTTTTATATTTCTCTTTTATATATGTAAAAAGTCTTAATAAAAATTACATTAAAGAAAGAAAAAATGCCCTCCATCCACTCAATTATTCTTTTCAGAAATTTTGAGAAAAGTTCAGTTTTTCAATTCCAAATTTCTACTTTTGTAAAACATCCATACATGCCCAGTGGAACAGAGAACCAAAAAAAATGGCATAGGTACATGTCATAATAACACAAGTCAATAACTTCATCTCCTCGTCCCCTTGATTATCAGAAGCCATTACACAGGCTAGGTGAGAGAACAAGCTTGGAAATGAAAGCTGGGATTTCTTCTAGTTGCATGTTTGCTGAACAATTTGAATCAATATAAACACTGAAGTCACTTCTTCTAAATAACTGCCCTAACTGGCCAGCGAATCAATCAATTGATGAATCAATGCCAGACATACTTACTGGAAATTTGGCTAAAACACAGAGGTGGGATTCACTTACCTTCCCTACTGGTTAGCAAATGTGAGTGCGTATGCACACGGCCTTCTGTGCATGTGCAGTGCTTGCATATTATGTCCAGGCAGGTGGGCAGAGCCTCCATTTTATCTGTAGATCCGAAGCAAACTTGTGATTCAATTTTCATGGAAAACTTTTAGTGATACTCGCTTAAGATTACTGTATATGGCACCCCTAAGGTACATTGAGTGATGGCTCCACTTCCAGTCAATGCAAAGGGTTGGTACTCCCTAAGTTTTGATATCCTAGTCCAGTGCCTTCTTTGCCTTAGCCCAAAGCTGGCCCTGCCTTTAAGCACAAACTTACTGTATATCTTCTACAATTGACTCCCCCTCTTACATGCATTTCAAATAAATTATAGGCTCAAGGTGAGATGCAATACAGCTGGATGTTTCTCAGATGTAGTGCAAACTAGCAATAGACTTAAGCAATGGTATATCCTGAATGCTTCATTGTTCAGTTACATATTATATCTAGTAATACTAGAATATCTGGTAAAAAGAGCATCATCATGATTGGAAAACAGGTCTATATTTATTCTATTTTATCCAGATAATGTGGTCAATTCAATTCAGTTTATTACAGTCATAGATCAGAGACCAGAACAAATAAAAACACTCAATAAATATTCAATTAAAAATGCTAGAATAAAATAAGAAATAACAGATAAAATCTATGATAAAATTCAGTCTGTCAATTACACAGTCTAACTATACTAAAATTACAATCCATAAACTGTGTGGCCCGTAGTCAGTTTATTACTAAAAGGGAAAGAAATAAGCAGTGCAAAGGATTTGCCACATTTGTTGTATAAAATAGCTATGGTGGATTAGACACGTGTTTCCAATGAATCCCCAGTGCTGCTGTGCAGAATTTAGCCACCTGTGCTGTAGTTTTGGATTGTTTGTTCTTAAACAGCCACTGGAGGTAAGCAGTGTCGGAATGGCCAGATACCTGGCAATAATTGGAAGGATATGTTTTTTCCGAATCTCTGTGTTAAAGGAACATTGAAGGAATATGTGACCAACAGTCTCCACCTCTCCTGAGCCACAGGAACAGAGTCTTTCAGTCACTGGTATCTTTTTATACTTGTACAGGACAGCCGATGGAAGCGCATGGCAACATGTGAGCGAAAATGCTTTCCAATGGTTTGCTGATTCCAAGTATCTGAGAGAGCTGGCAGGAGTAACAACATATCTAATGGCGTCTGGAGCCAGAAACAATGGAGCTTTCTCTAAGTCTGTTTGCCTTTCAATGTCCTCTACCCTTTTTCGCAAGGTTTGTTGTGCTTGGTCGTAGTCCAACTTGAGTATTGCGGCTGGGGAGAAGCCTAGTTTGGTAAGGTTGGACTTGACAGCCTTGATCCATGATGAGAAGAATTTGTCTTGGAGGATTAATGGAGCAAGCAAAGTAATTGTAATTGTTAAAGCAAAGAAGCCAAAATGCACCCCTGTTTAACCCCCTTTTGTGTTTTGACTGACTTTGAGAGGGAGCCTTCATTGTACCTTATACTCTCGCTGGAGGGGCCTTTATACAATCTCCGAAAGTGAAGTTCCCAGGTTTTAGGAGGTATATGGGCATCTAGTGGGGTAGATTCTGTCAGTAGCACATCACCTTGGAGGTGGTTGAGAGATCGACAACAGATCCCACCTTCTCCCCCATTCTGGTCCTGCCTTCCCCATCTTTTAATTAGGCAGCAGTATAGCTTTATATAGCTTTATCTTTTATGACTCTAAGCCAACCAGAGTTACCCTGGGTAAGATGGACAACCAATACATTTTACAAGATAAAATAAAATATAAAGCTGTTAGAAGAAATGTCCATCTGGGTTCAGCTCCAAATGGGGAAAAAGACACTGGAAATATGGAGACTGCTTGGAGAGATGGTTTAATGGTGGACAGGATCACATGGTTTGAGTTCCTGAACAGAAAAGGGCAGAGATGCTGAGTGTGCCTTGGTTTTATGCCCTCTCTGGCTTTGAACTTCCTGGTGCCCAGGAAGAGTATCCTGATTGGTTGCTGCCAGAGTTCATAGCTAGCTTTATAGGTTGTCTGTGTGCCAAGTTTGGTTGAAACTTGGTGGGTGGTGCAATAAAGGGCAATTAAATGGCTCTGCCTGAAGGAGGTCGATCTTTGTTATGTAGAATAGACTGGCTCAGGCCTTAATGGCCCATTAACAAAGGTGTGGGGCTGAGTTTCTGCTTCTCTTTTAGGGAAAATATTCTGCCTTTTTAACATATCCTAAAATATTTCATTTTTCTAGGAGTGGGGTGAGTACTAACTTCCTACAAAGCAAAATAAAATAAAATAATAATGCCATCAGAGATTCCTGTGGAATCTGTGGACCAAGAAGGACCACAAGAGCATTTTGTTACTTCTGTAAATATCAGTAAACCTGCAAATTCTTTGGAGGAAAACAAAGATCATGCACCTTGGGGAAGAATAAAATAAAATAAAACAAATCCTGCAGTCTGGATAGGAAGCTGATCCATCAGGCATGTAAAGGATAGTGAAAAGTCCAGCTTGCCTTGTTTTCTCTGAAGACTCAGAGAAATTCAGCAGCAAATCCTGTTTCATTTTTCTCTAGAAGCACAAAAGTTTGCTTTGTGATTATCTGAAGTAAAATTATTGGTCCAGTTCCATATGGGGTATAGTTAAATCCTGGTATTGGTTATACTTTATACTTTTCAGTACAAACACTATAGTAATGATTTATTTGTCAACTACAGGTAATTAAATTCATTATTGAAAACAGCAGGAGAACCACAAATTAAACGCCCATTATACCTAGCTATGCCTTCCTTAGCACCACTTAGCTATCTTCCTATTTGATTTAAAATTTTCTTTCTTTCTTTCTTTCTTTCTTTCTTTCTTTCTTTCTTTCTTTCTTTCTTTCTTTCTTTCTTTCTTTCTTTCTTTCGTGCAGTTAACAAAATGTAAAGCAAATAAATGCCCTATGGCATTATAGGTATTTTCAAGAATGGATATATGTTTGCAGAATAATGGGAGCTAGCAATGGTATAAAAATATTATAATTATATATTTATATCAGTGGTGAAATCTAAAATTTGTTACTACCAGTTCTGTGGGCGTGGCTTGGTGGGGGTGGGTAATGTGACTGGGTGGGCGAATAGGTTGTAAAAAAATGCTTTCAAAAGGCTCTGATGATCACAGCTGAGTTTCCTGATCGGCAGAGGCATTTTAAAAAACTCAGCTGGGATCGTCAGAGACATTTAAAAGAAAAATAGGGTTTTTTTCTTTTAAATGCCTCTGACAATCCCAGCTGAGTTTTTTAAAAAGCCTCTGCCGATCAGGCAACTCAGCTTGGATCGTCAGAGGCATTTAAAAGAAAAAAAGGGTTTTTTTCTTTTAAAAGCCTTCGACAATCCCAGCTGAGCCGCACGATCATCAGAGACTTTTTTTTTACTTTTAAAAGCATTTTTTCCACCAAAGAGGTTGTAGAAAAAATGCTTTTAAAAGTAAAAAAAAAGCCTCTGATGATTGTGCAGCTCAGCTGGGCATGGGGGGGGGGGCAGGGATTTTTGCTATTGGTTCTCCGAACCACCCGCCTCCATCGCTACCGGATCAGGTGATCCGGTCCGAACTGGGAGCATTTCACCCCTGATTTATATGCTGCCCCAATCAAAAGATTCTGTGTGGCTCACACAAAAAGATACAACAGAAAACATCCATGACATAACTTAAAGAAAAAGAAACCACAACCACTATGTAACAGTAAACCATTTAAAAAAATAAAGTGGCAGTGTTAAATCAGTGAAAGTATTTCTAAAACAACCCAGTCTTTAAAGTTTCTTAAAAAATACCAGGCAGGGAACCAGCCTGATGTTCACAGACAGCCTATATCCCAGCCCTGGAAAGACTAGAGAAAAGTGGGACTGCTTCATTTCTGCCCCTTAACTTTCTGCAAGGGTGGGATTTCCTTTTGCCCAAAAAGAAGGCTATCAGCCTTACTAAACTTTCTTTTTGTGGATACAGAAATGTCTACCTGACTTGCTTCTCTGCCATTAAATTAAGAATAACAGGAATATGAAAAGATGGATTAGGTTAGAATTAGAATGTAGTGATTGTATTAGAGAAGGAACTGTAATGGAGAAATTATTAGACATTAGAACGATTCCTTCCTTTTCCCTTTCAAACCTTGGCAAACATTTTTGATAATTCTTCTGCCATGAATTCTCTAGAGTGTTTCAGGCATGATATTTTGAGGAACGATAATTTGATAAAAACAAAATTTCCATGCCTTCCAAATAAATAAAGGCTGCAGAATATTACTGTGATGGTCTTTTGTTACCTTTCAGGGTATAAAATTTTCTAAGACAGAAAATTATGCTTTATGTCAGTGATGGCGAATCTTTTTGGCACCAAGTGCCGAAAAGGGAGCGCTTTGTGTTGTGTGCTTTGCGCGCACACATGTGCTCATCAGACCCGCAACCTGGAAGAGGAGCTGCAAAGGGTGCATGTGCGCGCATGTGCATGCCGGGAAATTAACTTCCGGTTTCCAGCGTGCACATGCACATGCGCAATGACCAGCTAGTCTTCCAGTTATGGGGCGCATGTGTGTACGATGATCAGCTGGCCAGTGCACATGCCCACGTCGGAAAATGGAAGACCAGCTCTTCCAGTTTCTGGCAGTGCCACACGCAGGAAGGCCAGCTGTTCGTCGTGTGCACATGTGCAGCAGAAACCCGGAAGAGGGTCAGACGACGCCACACATGTCGGGCAACATGGCTCTGTGTGCCACTTCGGGCCCACGTGCTATAGGTTCGCCATCACGGCTATATGTTGTTGCTTTTTGACTAGTTTAGAGACTTAATCCCCTTGAGCAAACTCAAATTGTTGGAAGACCCAGAGAAATTCAGCAGTCATTCTTGCTGCTTCTTTTTCTCCAGAAGCGCACAACTTTGCTTTGTGAATATCTCAGGTCAAACCCTTGGCCCAGCTCCATATGGAGCTCAGTCAATTTCCATTGACTAACCAGGAAGAGTGCAAACTGTTCAACTGTTCAAGAGTGCAAACTATTCGTTCCAGTACAGCCCTTGGGCAGGAGGTCTGGCTGCTAGACTGGAACTC